CTGCTCTCCTTATATGACAAAAAAGAGTATTGAGAACCGCTGCTCTCCTTATATGACAAAAAAGGGTATTGAGAATCGCTGCTCTCCTTATATGACAAAAAAGAGTATTGAGAATCGTTTTTTCAATCTGAAATATCAAGAATGAGTAACAAGGGGGATGAGAAAGATCGAGAAAGATTGGTCGAGTGTAAATACGATGCAATCTCGCGTGGAAGTTGGGATGAAAGTCACCCTTCCCCCTCGTTCCGTCGCGTTAATATCAGGGCGGAAATGGTGGCCGCCAAAGGCTGTGGAAAACTTCCGTGGAGCGGAGGTGGTTACGATGGTGGTGCAGTGCAGGTGTACGCGCAGTTGCCTCTTCCCCCCTCTTTGGGTCGAACCGATGTTTCAAAGTGGCCCACCACCCACCAACCCCCTCTTTCAAACTCTCGTGAAAACGACGTTTTCCCAACGAAATTTTTCCCGCGCTAGTACCTTCGCGTCATCCTCCTCCTTCGAGGAACACCGTTGGAAAAATTGAACGATTTTTTGAAATTTCGAAATACACTTCGGGGAGTCCCTTAACTTCGACTCCGAGGGAAAAATCTTTTCTCCTATGCAATTTTGAATTTTCACGAATATTCTACTCCCTCGTGCGAGGAATACTCTTTGAGCGATGATAACAGATTCGCAGATCTTGGGAATTACGGGGGTAACGCGTTTTTTTAAGGTTGAAGCCGGAGAAATTTAAAGGGTTTTTTCAAGGAACGGTGGTTGTCATATAATTACGATCTGTACGACTGGATTTTTAATTATTTTAAGCAATTTGATATGAGGATTTTGAAATAAAAGAATGTTCTATCTATGTTTTTTTTGATTCTTTGATTTAACAAAATGGAGTCGATTCGTGATTCTTTTCTATATTGATTTATCTAGGAGAAAATTATTTTGATCTTTTTTTTTCGATATTAAATTGAAACGTGTATAATAAATAATTTCTTTTTTTTTTTTTACAAAGAAAAGTAATTTTATTTACGGATTCTTTAGAGAATTTTCTTTCTTCCACCAGGAGTTCTTCTAGGATTAATAAAACGTCGAGATTTTATTACGAGTGTTTCGCGGAACCGTGAACCCTTGGGAAATTTAGAAACATTAATACGCAATCGTACATCAGTTTGACCAAAGCATCGTAAATATTGGTTATCTGTCACGGATTGTCTGATATATTTCAATTATTAACAACCATCTGAATAATTCCATCGCTCCTCCCTTCTCCCTCCCATTGATTGATATCGATCCTCGAAAACCTAGAATAAATATCGATCGGAATAAAATTTAGCTTTAATATATAAATTTTTAGCTTTTATATATAAATTTTTACGAATTAATCCTAGGATACGAAAATGTAGAAAGACAAATCGATGATTGAAGAAAATTGAATCGAGTTCTTGTTGCGAAATGAATATCTATTAAATCGTGTTCTAAATTTATGAAATATTTTTCACACACCCTGTACAAGATCTTCCATTAAAAACCACGACGATTACGACGACGAAAAATTCGTTTTTTTTTCTTTTTTTGCTCTCGTTTAAGGGATAAAAAAACACCATCCTTTTCAATGATCTACATTCTTTGCCTTACTCACCCCGTTAAATTTACATTCGAACACACTTTCTCTCCTCCACCCTTGCAATGAAGTAACCCTCGAAATAGAGCCTCAATTTCGTCTTTCTCGCCAATTTTCACCAGCTCGATGGAAAAAAAGAAGAGGGAAGAAAAAGAAAGGGAAAGTGTCGAAGAAAATAGGGGATGCTCGAGGATGATCCCGAGGGTACCTCGATGCGGAAGTTTTTCCACCCTCTTTGGAAAGACAAACAGCAGCGCGGCTGCGGCGAGAAACGAGCTAAGAAAAAAGAGAGTGGTCCGCCTATTCCACGGCGGATGACGTGAATGTGCGCGTCACGACCGATTTTCGACATACGCGATAAAACGAAGCAAGGAATCTTTTCCAAGGTGTACATTTTTTCGCTTGATGAAACTTCGTGCTTCCTCTCGCCTCGAGGAGGCGACCCTCGCGAAGATTTCTCCCTATTTTATCGAAGAAATTTATGAAAGAAATATCTGTATTCCTTTTTCTTTCGCAGATATCACGCATTTTCTCTTCTAATTGTAATTTTGTGTTCATCGAAAAATCAATATTCAGAGGGGAGTCTCTTCCCTTGACTCTCGACGCCGCTTTGAACGTGTCAGTCGAGTGTTTCATTGTGTGTGTGTGTGTGCACGGTCAATGTCACGCTTCCTGAAAATCATCCCCTTGTTTTGACGTACGCACGACTGCTAATTACTTTCCCGTCGCCGATACGCCGCGGGCGTCAAAGCGACTTTGTCAAGGATCGGAGACACCGTAAAACCTCTGGTCTCTCTGGTCCATCCATTTAATTAAGCAAGTACCTGCGCACCATGTGGACAGGGAGAGTGGTAATGGTGGTGGTGGTGGTGGTGGTTGATGCGGGATGCTGGAAAATTGTAAATGGAAGGGGTGTAATCGTTGCAAATTTCAATTTTTTTGGAAGGAAAAACAAAAGAGGAGAAAAGATGGATTTAGCTTGTGTTAATGTCGTTGGAAGGACGTATCTTTGAAGAAGAATGAGTTTATCTGGAAAATTGAAATTGGAGAAGATTTTTTTTTCTTTTAAAGATTCAATTTTTTTGGAAATAAAAGAAGAAATAGATGAATTTTAAACGTTGCCTTCAAAAATTGAAAAATTGAAAGATATTTTTTGAAAGGAGGAAGATGTTGGAATTTCGATTTTTTTTTTTTTCTTTTTTAGAAAAGAAAGAAGAAGTGTGCACTTTTACGGTTTAAACGTTAGTTGGAGGAAGAAGAAGTATCCTTGGAGAAGGGATTGCTTCGAGGTGGAAGAGTCGAGGGACAAGCTTTTAAGCTTTTCTAAGAACGTGTCATTTCTTTTTTCTTTCTTTCTTTCTTTTTTTTTTTTTTTCTCTTTCTTTGCCCCTTCTTCTCGACGTTGATGAATAACTCTTGCTACTTTCTTGATGCCAAGAAGATGTTTAATTCAGGCTGGATTAAGAATATTCGTTGACTTTCCCTCAATTTCCTTCTCATCTTTCACAAAAATAAAGTTGCCTTTTCGGGGATATAAGTTTCTGAAAATACTGAATACGACCTTCAGAAAGATATTTCTAGATTTTCCACCAAATACACGAGTATTTTTTTCGTGTTTGTATATTTTATCAACGATATAAACGAACAACGACATAAACAAAATACGCTCTCTTCATGCAAATTCGTACACCATTTCGATTACCGTGTTTTCACAAACGAATTTAACCATATTCTGAGAATAAAAATTCTGATTTCGACGATATTCGCAAACCGAACGAGAAACAACAACAATCTCAGATACGAATTGCGAAATAATTCCTTTCTAACCTCCAAAATAATTTATTCGTCGATGAATAATTTCGATTCGTCGAAAA